TTTCTGCTTTGAGACTAATTTTTTCTTTTTCTAGTTTCCTAAGGTGAGGTCTTGAGTGACATTAGATTTTTCTTCTTTCCTAAAAATGCATTAAATCCCATAAATGTCCCTCTAAACATTATTTTTGCCTTTGATAAGTTATATTTTAATTTTTATTTAGTTCAAGATATTTCACAATCTTTCTTATCTTTTTTTGATCCAAATGTTATTTAAAGTATGCTGCTTAATCTCCAACTAGTTTTTTCTGCTGTCCTAACTACTTTCTGTTATGTTTCTAATCTAATTTCACTTTGTTTTGAAATAATATCTTACAGGATAGTTCTGTTATTTCTAACATTAAGGTCTATTTTGTCACACACTGTGAATGTTTCATGTGAGCTTAACAATGTGTATTTTGCTGATATGGGTGAAGTCATCTGTGCATAACAAAGGCATAGTTGATTACGAGTGTAGTTGAGTCCAACTCTGTCCCTGGTGACTCCCTCTCCCGCCCCCAGGGTGGAGGTGAAGGTTGGTTATCCATTTCTGACTTGAACACACTTGTTTCCTTGAAGTTCTGTCGGTTCTTGCTTCTACATTTTGTTGCTCTGTCATGTCCTCTTGAGGAATCACTCTAATTTGATGTAATGTCCCCTTCCATGCCAGACGATTTCCCTGCTGCGAAAGCTCCTATGTCTGGCATTAACCTGACCATAACATTCTCTGCTGCTTGATTTGCCTAAGGCCTGTCTTTGTCTGCTGACCTCTGATCGACATGTATTCTACCCCGTGCACTTCCTGTTGGTGACTTAGATTTCAGCCGTTTTCTTTTACCCACCAGCTGTTGGTGCTTTAACTGATACATGTAACTGATAACAACAGTGTTCATTGTGTCTGCCATGTCATACATGTCTGCCATGTGCCTACATATGTTGTTATTGTTTATATGTGTGTATGCTTAGACAAAAAACAACCAAATTCACTGTTGTTGTGAGTCTGAACAAATGCTTATGTGCTGGACCAACAGAGATAAGAAAAACAGGAGGCCTTACTCTTCTTCACCCTTCCATTTTCTGTGTTCTTACTTTTTGTAGATTTGAGGTCCTAATGTGTCATTCCCCCCTCTTTTGAAGAAATTAAAATGATAATTCTTATGATGCAGACTTACTGGCCACATACCCCCAATATTGATTTCTTCTTTTATTTTGAAGAAAAATTGTGCAAGTGAAGAATCCCAGGTTCATGAGGATCCCATCTCTCCTTATAATGTCTTCAGGTCTCTAAGATATCATAAGTAACAATTTTAAAGTCATATTTCACCTATTTTGTGTTTGAGGAGTGTATGAATGGCAGGGCATGCGTGTGGACCCTGAACAACTTTTGGTTATCAGTTTCATCGTGTCTACTGAAAATTCAACTTGGGTCTTCAGGCTTGGTGACAAGCTCCTTAGCCCACTGAGCCATTGCCTACCCTCAGGCCTTTTTGCTTTGCTCTTTGATAGGCAAGACATTTTTTTCTCTTGCTGCTTCCAGATGCTTGCCCCTTATCTTTGATATTCTGTAACTTGAATACAATACATTTATGGGGGTAGTTTCCCTCTATTTCTTCATCTTTTCTTTTCGTTTTTTTCCTTCTCGGGACTCTGAGCTTCCTGAATCTATCTGTGCTTTGGGTCTGATGTTAATTTGGGAGATGGTCTCATCATTACTGCTTCAAATGTCTTTCTCTCCTTGTTTCTGTTTTCTTCTGTTGGTGTTAGTGGGAATACCCTGCAAACGTACCCTTTTGTGGTTGTTGTATAGCTGCTAACATTACTGGATAGTTCCTTCCTTCCTTCCTCCCTCCCTCCCTCCCTCCCTTCCTTCCTTCCTTCCTTCCTTTCCATCTGCTTTTCAGTTTTGGAAGTCTTTGTTGAGATGTCTTTAAGTTCAGAATCTCTTCTCAGTTGTATTCAGCTGCTAATGGGTCCATTTCTCATAATCGAATGAGATAGAATCTCAATGTAGATTCAATTTGAATTTCTCTGATGGGTAGGGATGCTGAAGATTCTTTTCATGTGTTTGTTGGCCATTTGTCCTTGTCTTTTAAGAATTGCCAATTTATTGATTAGATTGTGTAATTTCTTTTTGAGATTTTTTAGTTCTTCATACATTCTAGATATTTATCCTCTGTCAGATGTCACAAGAGCAGTTATGGAAGCAGTCCTGGTGTCTATGCACACATGACTGAATAAAGATATGTGGTATATATGCGAACTGGATTTTTATTTTCCATAATGAAGAATGAAATGATGCCTTTTCAGGGAAGTGGATGGAACTGGAAATCATAATATTAAGCAAAATAAACTCATCTCAGAAAGGAAAACATTACACCTTCTTTCATATATGGGACCTGATTTTTTTTTCTGAGACAGGGTTTCTCTGTATTGTTTTGGAGACTGTCCTTCCTGTAACTCCCTCTGTAGACCAGGCTGTCCTCGAACTCACTGAGATCCGCCTGCCTCTGCCTCCCAAGTGCTGGGATTAAAGGCACGTGCCACCAATGCCTGGCTTGGGACCTGGATTTTATATAGATGCATAAATCAATTATGTATAGTTACATATGTATTTATATATTGACAAAAACAGAAGCAAGGCTGCCTTAGGTGTGGGGGTGAGTCTGACAAAATGCATGATATACTTGAATAAGAATCTCTTTATAAAATCTATCACTATATACAATGGGTATGTGTCAATATGAATATTAAAAAAGAAGTTACACAGAAAAAAAGCAGTTTTCACTCCTGTTGTAGTTTTTGATCTATAGCAGTTCCCAAATTCTTTGTTAGAACTCCTTTCTATCTGCTTGTCATGGCTCATCTGCTCTTGTAGTTATGAGAGCCCTTAGCATTTCAGTCAGAGTTGTTTTAATCGTCAGTCTGGTGAGTCCAACAGTTCTGTGGATATCCTAGCTTGCTTCTGGTGCTTGTCCTGACTCTTCAAATGGCGTTCCATCTTTTAGTATAACATGCAATCATTCTCCATTACCAGATGTGATGTCTGGGCCAGGGGAGCCACTGTAGGTAGGCCTTCAGTATGTGTGGTGGGAGACATGTTTTCTCGTTCTATAGTTAGGCCAGACTTTAACGAGTCTGTTCCCTTGGACTGTGGACTTCAAAAAACGCTGTGAGTCTTTCTTCTCTCAAGTGGAAGGCCAGAATCAGCCAGAGTTGGGTACAAATAGGTTGAATGAATATTACCCACCCTTAAGCATGAGGAGACTTTTCTGTCAATATTCACTTTGAGGACACGGCAGAACTCCAGCAATTCAGAGCTACAGAAGGGTTGCCTCACTGACAGCCAATCCCTCTGGATTTATTTTTTAACTCTCAAACTAGCCCACATTGTACACTGAAAAAGTCATCAGTCGTTTGGGCTTTCCGGAGCTAGCTTTTTCCCCATACGAGGTGTCTGTTCACAAGTGCCCCTTTGCTAGTGTGAGCCTCTGTGCACTCCCATGTGTCTTTTCAGTTTGGGGGAGGTAGTTAGCATCACATGCCCACTTTTATGGACATAGAAATTCAGCTTCCAGTTCATCACTTGGCCATAGACTGAACTGGTCACTTCGGATCTCTATCCCTGGACCAGGAATTGGAAGACATTGTTGGGTTTCTTTAAAGTTAATTTTATTTCGGGACAGGTATTTTTACACATATATTTTTGAAGAAAACATGCAGTTCTCTGACATTTTCTTCATGCATGACTTTGATTTCCACCCATGGTTAATTAGCATAAATGCTCATAAAGCAAAGTTTATCCACATTATTTATCTCATTGCTGGATGGAAGACTATTTTTGACAACCAAATGATTCTGATGACATTATAACTCCAAAAAGAACTTTGGTCAGTGATCAGGAGACGATCAATAATGAAGGGGCTGGTAAAATAGAAATGTAAAACTATTTCCTACAGTAGAGTTGTTCTTTAGTTAATCAGTATTTGGTGTTATTTCAGTTATCTCTGTTTTCAAAATAAAAACAATCCAGCGTCTAAAGTTTTATCTGAAGAAAATAACTTAGATTACCTATTTTTAAAAAGCCAAATCAGAATCCTGTGGAGTCACCTGAATTGAACAATCAAGTGAAATTTAATCCCATGGGTAACACACACACACACACACACACACACACACCCGTCTAACGTTTGTCATGTGGTTGAAAGGTGAGTTAAGAAGCAGCTTGTTATTGGCCCTCATTTCATCAACTATCTCTGGCTGACAACTGGCCTGAACCCTGCTGCTTTTGCAGGCGTTTGTGTTTATCTAGTCAGAACCAGGGATAGAGATAGCATCATTCCCACGGTGCCTGATTTAACTTGGCCTTGGGTGGTGTAACAGACGGGTTGGAACCTGACACAGCAGATTACATCAACTTAGCCATCATTTCAAGAGTTGTATCTTTTTGTTTGAATAGTTTATCTCCAGAGATTTGATAGATCTCCTCCTAAATGAAAGTTACTGTCATTTGTGCCTACCCTGCCAACTCTCCCATAGATGATGGGCTTACTGTGTCACTCACTCTGGACGACATCTCTCCTGATCCTCTCTGGGTTATTTGCAACAGGGCTGGGTCCACCAGTGAGATCTCTGATTCTTAGCTATTGATTTTCATCTGTGCAAAGCAAATCATAAGACAGAGGGAGCAACCAACAGAAATTCCTCACTACCGTGCAAGACTGCCATGGGGGACAGCCTTGGGTTGTGTAAGGACAATTAATGTACATACAGGGCCGAGACAGTTGTTGGTATCCCATCCATGGTTAGTACCAGTGCTGTTTGGATGGGATAAAATCTCCACAGCCATGTCTAAACAGTTAGGCAAGTGATAAAACAGTCTTGGATGTCAACAACATCTAAGGACCAGGCTGCAACAGGCCATGACATTGGGTTCCCGACTTCTCATCATGGAGATAGTGTTCACTGCCCTCCCCCAAAAATTTGGTAATAAAAAACAATCCCATTGGTACAAAGGAACCACAATGATTTGGAAGGTCAAAATTTAATATATTTTAGGTGGAGTAAGAAGAGCCAAGTTAGACAACTGAAGCACAAAGAAGTTTTCCTTAAGTATATATTGTCCAAGAAGACTCAAATTCTGTTCCCGGCTATGCTGTTGTTTTGGCTGGCTTGCTTGTAGGTGCTGGTATTTTCTCTACTCTCCAAAGTAAAATATTGACACAAATGAATCCAATGAAGAAGAAAGAGGACGGGGTGGGGTGCTATTGAGTGGATTCTGATCACCTCCTGGTGTTTGGCGGAGGATCCAGTACCTTCTATGGGAAAGTGAAGCATTCTGGAAGGCTAGCAGAGGGCATTAGGTTAGCACACTTTTATCCCATTGTTTGAGAGCTGGATACACCTCTGCCACCTGTCCGTGAAATGACATATGTGTGCATTCTAGATCTCAGGTGGGGACATCTCAGAAAGCCCTTCCGTGCTAGCTGGGATTTAACATTGTAACCCTCCTCCAGCATCAGGAAGGCACGCCAGGTTCTCCTGGCCCCCTAATCACCTGGCTAAATCTTATATAAAAGTTTAAATAGAGGAGTGTGGTTCTCTGTGTACCATCAGATTATCCACTTGATATGGGGATTAGGGAAACCAAGTTCTCCTCCCTAGCCTGCTTTTGAGTGAGATTTGAGTCATTCAGAGCCTAGTAAATAAGTGTTACATTGCATAACTAGCTGTAAAAACTAAACTTTATCTTTTCCCTTGTACCCAGTTAATTCAAGAACACTGAACTCCAGAAACCCAGACTAGGGGAGGCAGCTACTCCCTCTACAGTGTGGGCTTCCTGCGATAAGATGTGTGGTATCAATCCCCACCTGTTCTCTGCTTCACAATACTGAGATAAGGGCTCTTCACCTTGCCCTGCCTCAAAGCCTTCCTCCGTCCGTCCTCCTAGGTCCTTCATGCTGAGTAGAGGTCTGTGTTCTTCCTGGAACCATCCTTTTCTGGGAAGATCAGCAGCAAGGTGCAGGCTGCAGGTTTAGCTGCAAGAGAAGCCCATGGATCCTCCACACTGAGTTGCCTCACCTACCCCAACTTCCTCAGGACCAAAGCTGACGTTTGTTGCCAGATTAGGATGAGCGCAGAGTGGAGGGCAAACATAAAAGAAGAGGGAACACTCACATGAACAATATAGACAGGAACCAGTGAGCTCTCCTGCATTCTCCACTGCAACACGTGCTTTGTATCTTGGTTAGGTGACTATAAAGTCTGCACACATACAACCATGTAAATATAACCACGACACTCACATAGACCATTTCTACTATCTCTCTAAGAGACACAGTCTTTTTTTTTAGTTGTGTATATGTGTAAATTATTTGTGTGTGTGCATGTGAGGTCTGAGGTTGACAGTAATTGTGTTTCTCAATCACTCTCACCTTTGTTTTTGTTTTTTTTTTTTTTAAGACTGTGTCTCTCACTGAATCTGGAGCTCACCAACTTTTCTAGTCTGGGGTTAGTTATCCACAGGGACACTCCCTTCTCCTCTGTCCAGTCCTGATATTACAGGTATGTATTTCACCACACCACATTTTTCATGTGGGTGCTGAGTTCTAAACTCAAGCTTTCACACTTGCCTGGCAAGCTGCTTATTCACCAAGCCATGTCACCAGCCTGGAGAGTCACTCTTTAGGAGGTGTGTTTTCATATTCTGTTCCTGCTCTTGGCTTTCTGGAACAGCCATGACTTTGTAGCAGACAAAAAAAAAAAAAAAAAAAAAAAAAAAGTTCCCTGTTGTAATAATCCTGCTAATAAAAACCGACAGCTGGTCGGAACTCATGACCAAATCCCTCTCAACAGACTCAGTTGCTCTTTCCAGTGCCACCAACATCCTTCTTGCTCTTGCTGTGTGATATTTCCTGTCTCTGCGGGCCATGGTCACTTTCCTAGACTGTCCCAGCACTCTTTACTTCTTACAGGCCCTGCCAAAAGTGGCCACACTGCAGTCACTTCTCCTGATCTCCTTATCCAGCAGGGCCCCGTCACCCCTTCATCTCTGGCTTGCTTTGTTATTCTTCAAGACCGTACTCACATCTAACAGGACACACAGTTACACCAATGGCTCACTGTCGTCTCTGTCTTAGACTTGGTGCTCTAGAATCAGCGCTTGAGAGGAATCAGATGCACGGAGGGAAGAGGGGAGGAAGCAGGGAGGTGGGGATAAAATAGCCAGGTCAGGATGTGTTTCAGGCAGGTCCAGTCTGGCGAATATCAGCTGGAGGCGTGGGGGTGTTCTTTGAACCCTCACACAGTAAACGCTTTGGGGTATCACTATGTGGCCTGCTCTACCTGATGGTCTACCTTGGATGGACACAACTGTCTTCTCCGGGTTTTGCTAGTTTGCTTTACTCAGCTGTAGTGTGAGTGTGTGCATGTGCATAAGCATCTAGACACTCAGATGGGGGCAAAGAGTTGGTTTGGGGGATGCCTTCAACGAGATGTGACTTTTAATGTCTAATAGTCATATGTCTTTAGTTCAGATGTTTGCATAATTCACCTAGAAAATGAATCAAAATAAGTTCTAGTAAAATACAAAAAGGCCATTGAAATGTCACAGAAAGGTTATTTAACAGTGTGTTATGTAACACCTGTGGGTTAGGGCGAGCGAGGGGATCTTGCACAGAAGTTTCTAGTAATTTGAAGACATTCAAAACACCAGTGTTCTCAGGCGCCTCTGTGTTGGTTGCTTTCATCCGTGTGTTGAGGATTGTTAGCCCAGTCCAGGCAGTTAATCTGAACCCAGGGTGGGTCTTTGGCTCTGCTTGTCTTACCTCTGCCCTGTTCTTCTGGTGTCTCCCTGTGGACACATCTGATTGGCTGCTCTCTTAGCCTCCCCTTGAAGTCACATGGGTACCGCCATGTTTAATGGGTCCCATCTGCTAACAGAAGGTATTTAATATGGTAGAAAATCAGGTGATTTGATTTATCAAATATTAATTTTCACCAGATGATATTTCTTTAGAAGGAGCTATTTCTTGGATGCTTTTTAAAAAAGTAATTGGTGAATGCTGGAATATTTATTTGTGAAAACAGTGTGCTGTAACAGCATGAGCTTGGGACTCCAGGCAAGAAAATGGGTGTTAGTATAGCCTGCTTATGACCTTTGACACTGGACCTGTCTTGGCCTCAGTTTCCCCACAGACTACTCTTTCAGGCCCTTGGTAATCCTGTAAGTAAATCCCCTTGTCTGTGGAGCCGATAAACTTGGCCAAATCAGTAATGATACCTGTTTTTGTTTGAGCGAGTAGCACTTGGAACTTTGGGTCAAACTTGAACACATAAAAAACTAGACCAAACTTTAAAGGTTCCTGCTTATCAACGCTAAACTGAATTTTGATCAAATGTTGTTTTATCAGATAGGTTATTAAGATAATAATATGCTTGATGGAGGGTGTTGGCCCCGGACGAAGGGATTGTTTTCAGCTCAGTGAGTTCTCATGAGGGAAAGCTGACACTGCCATTGGAACTGGGGTACCTTCTCCCCCAGGAAAGCTCAATGTCCAATGAGCCAATACACATATTGCTCTTGGGCTCGGCAGGAATTCTATGTAGGAGACAAACTAGGCGTTCACCCATTTTCTTTTTCTTAAGTAAACCCAGAAAGTTTGGAGCGGGCTTGTATCTGAGTTGTTCTCTTTCAGAAGCGTATGCAACACCGCATAAAGGGAGGAAGACCCTACCAGGACATTTTCTGTCATGTTTTGATAGAAAAGAGCCCATTTTAGGGCCCAACTGCCATAAAATGCCATTTCTGATATGACTTACCCCATACACAGGGTTGGCCTTTGTAGATAGGCCTGTCAAGCCATGGCTAGATGGCTTCGTGTGCTGTCCCATTGCAGTGAGAGGCAAATCATAGTATAGTTTATTAACTGGCAACTATACAATAGACAGAAAATTGGTACAAGTGGTTCAGGGAGTATTCTCGGAATTAAAGGGGGGTTTCACAATGGCTGAATGGTGAAACAGTTATAAAGGTGTTGTGATTTTCCATTAACTTGGTTTTATATTTACCTGCAAACTCTTGTTGTTCTTTGAGTCTCCTTGGACACTACAATTGAAGTGGGCTGAATGCCACCATCTTCAACAAGGGGGCAACCTTAGGCCAGATGACTGACTGCATAGAAGGCCTTATCACTAGACAAAGGGCAAGCCACCCAATTCCAGGTTTGTTTCTTTGTGTTTGGTGAGAATAAAATCAGCTTTAATGGGGGCAGTTTATTAGACGGCGGACACTGAACCCTTAGCACCCTTGCAGCCATTCTTGCAGACATAGTTACTTCAAGGTGAAATGAGCCTGGCATGCTAAGGGTTAATGCGCCGCAGGAAAGGGGAGCAATTTTCTCTCACCTTGTCTGAAGAAAAAGACTCAGCAATGGATTTTACTTCCCTCCTCAATTTATTAGACTTTATGGGAAGTTTAATGTGGTGTGTCCCTTGTACAAAGTCACTGAATGAGAGCATTCCGTGTGGAGGAAATCCTACACACTGGGAGAGGACTTCAGCAATTATGAGGGTAACATTCACACCAGCAAGCATTCCATGACTTTCCAAAAGGCTCTTTAGTGTGTCAGTTCCAGCGCTTTAAAAAGAACATAAGCCTGCTTCCTGAGTAATGACTTCAGATAAATGGGTGAAAAGCAGCCAAATAGTCCTGGTCCCAGGCGGACCCCAGAGAGTCTGCTAATCCACAGTTAGGGTGCCCAAGTGCCTAGAGGTACACTTTCTACTCGCCTGGGATGCTCTCAGGAAGATTCTGTTTTGTTGTGCTCAATGTTTGTTGACCCCTCTGAGCCTCTGACAAGAGGATAACACCTCCATTCATGAGAAAAACATTTGCCATCTTTTTTGTTTGTCTTCAACTCAGTGTTTGCCAGAAAGTAAGGGTCATATACAGTATATTGGAGGAGACTAATTTAACTAATAGGGTTTCACTGTGGATCGAGTGTTCTGAGGCAATGTTTGAGAACTGAACTTATAAATAGAAGTTCTGTGTTCAGGGTCCCTAGAGAAATACTGATGGCTCCTGTTCACTGGACACTTTGTTCTACAGGACCAGCCAGAGGAGGACACAGGGGTGGAAAACCACTGCTTGTCTCCAAATTGGGCTGGTATTTAGACCATTCCAATTGTGCAGTCTGATTTTTACCATGATATATGCAAGTTGTTATTTAAGACATGATGAAATCATCTAACCAGTATACCTGTGGGTGACTGCGGTGGGCGACTGAGGGCAGCCAGAGCTGGCTTTCACATTTCCTTGCCAACCAAGGGGCTTAATGTGGAAGGCAGGCTGCGAGTTGCTCACAAAAGCGGGGTCCTAATTGCAGAACCCTTTGTATCTCTGAACTGGTGGCCCCAGATGACTTTTAAAAATGGTTGTTACTAGAACCTTCTATTTTGAATGAGCAGACTAACCAAGCCAGACTGGCAGTGGCCCTTCTTGTTCAAGAAAGAAAAGATGTGGCTTAGAAAATCAGAACACCGTTTCTTGATGAAGAAGTTTTGTTTTGTATTATTCTATTATGTGTATGTATGTACATGCTATCATCTACCGTCTCTCTCTATCATCTATCCATTGTCTATTATCTACCTATTTATCTAACATCTATCATCATTACCATCTATCTGTTATCTATCTAGTATCTACCTATTATCTATCTATCTATCTATCTATCTATCTATCATCTATCATCATCTATTATACCTCATACCCAAAGTGGTCAAGGTGATTTTAAAAATAGAAAACACATCTAACTTCTGTTTATATGCCCAAGAAGTCTAACAAGTCATTTCCTTTGTCTTTTGTCTTTATAAACCCCTTTCCTTTATTCATTCCTCTCTACTTCCTTATCTAGTCATTGGAATATATTCAAATGGGCTCATAAACCCATCTCCTCCCCATAAGCGTGCTGACTATTGGGCAAAGCCCCCCTTGGTGGTGGGTGCCTTTGTGGTTCTCTGGACACCTGCCACATTGCACTGCCTCTTAGTAGCTGGAGCTGCACTCTCTGCACTTGCCTCAGACATGCAGAGGCAAAGTTTCATTCTTTTGAGAGGATGTCAGCTGAATAATCGCAGTGGCATTTTTGTTATTATGAAACAGATCATAACCATTGCTTAGAAAAGGACATTGGCAAAACACACACACACACACACACACACACACACACACACACACACAGAGGAATTCAGGTGCTATGGAGGTCAGAAGCCTCAGATCTTCCTGGAGCTGGCTTTACAGACAGTTGTGAGCTGTCTAACCCAAGTGCTGGGAACTAAGCTTGGGTTCTTCTTGAGAGCAATACCCCTCTTGAGAGCCCCCCTCTTCGAGCCTGGGAAAGGGCCCTTCAAAATGTAGCTCACAGAAAAAGGCTTAGAGATAGGTGTGGGGCAGGAAGGAGTGAGAAATAGGAGAGAGAGAGAGAGAGAGAGAGAGAGAGAGAGAGAGAGAGAGAGAGAGAGAGAGAGAGAGAGAGAGAGAGAGAGAGAGGAGAACAGCACCCATC